CTGGTTTTGCCATTTCGAAATCCTGTAACGCAGCAGCCAGTCGTGAGGCTGGCGTGTGCAGAGAAGGACATTCCTCCTTTTCCCTTCTCTCCCCTCCATTTAATGCAAGCCATATCTCTATCTCCAAATACAGTCTGAGCAGGAAAGAGGAGAAAATAATAATATGAGGAAGAATAAAAATCTACCCAGTCTATGGGCAAAAACAGAAGTTAGCAACATGGTCCATGCAGCTGCAACACTACATTTAAAATTCAGTTTACTCCTAGGAAGAGGGCTAATCCTGCCCCTGTAATTCCCTACAGCCAAAATGTACCCCCCTCCCTGAGTGACAGTGCAATGCAAAGACACTCGCACGCTTATCTTCCCCAACCAGATGGCCGACTTGGATCAATGCACACACGCCACGATCAATGGGAGCGATAAAGAATTAGGAAAACAGTGGTACATGCTCCCAGAAAGCTTGTACACTGCATAATTATTTTATGATTCTACACATGGCTACATGTGATACTGGAGTCAAGAAGGAAAAGGATAATTAGAGAGCCAGAAAGCACCCGTACTGCACTACACACTTTGTCAGTCAGCAGTTCCCACTCGGCTCAAGTCACCGCCGTTATCTTCTCTCCTGCCCTCTTGCAAACGAATTTCAGGAATACGTAAAATATTAGGGGGAGGTGGCTTCTGGGTTACAGACACGGGATGTGGGAGATTACCATGTCCTGTGATATGACAGCAAAAGTTTTTGGCTGACAGTTGGGGTTGGCTGTGGGCACTGGGGTGGCATCCGAGGGGACACTGCAGTGGACGGTTTCTTCATCGGAGGGCTTTGTCATGAGAGGCACATATCCAAAGCTGAATGTCTCATTCATTTCATAAGTATATATATTACTATTTTTTGGGGTTTTTTTTGTTTTTTTTTTTTTTAATTCTTTTTAATTCTTTTCCTCCTGGCAGCAATTTCATGATTGGCTTCTTGCATCCAGTCTATTTATCACCACACTGCTGAACAGAAAAGGGGATTGAAAGAGCTTCTCCCTCCTCTCCCCAAAAAATAAAAGAACAAACCTGCTTGAATAATACAGAACAAATATCAAAGCACTGGATGGTAATGTCTATGTATCTGGATGCCAAAGAGCACACGACCAAGATTAGAGAGAAGAACAATGCTGGGCAAAAGTCTGCCCTTGGTGGCAAGGCAGAGAGCAGGAAATCACTTCCCAGAATAAATGGGGGTCAGCCAAGGAGCTGGGGGATCTAATGGTGCTCCAAAGGGAACAGGGAAGGCATTGACATCACTTCTGTGGCTACCTTGGCTTGTCTTTGCTGGAGGCCAACGAGCCCAGGTCTTCCTGCAGGGACAGTGCAGAGGATTTCATCCCGTATCTCATCCCAGTTCCAGTCTGCTCCCTTTGTGCAAATCAAGGCACAAATGGCTTTTGGTGTGATATGCTTGAGAAGATCCTTTTTAAGTGTAAAGGTTTAAAAGAAGAGTCTCTCCTGCAGTCATTTGACTTAAGACAAGACCAGGACCCAGGGCCTGGTCACGCAGAGATCTATGGTATGCAGAGTAATATGCCTCAGATGTGCACTTAGGTTAAAAATAGTCACCCTAAAACACATGCTACAACTTTGCTATTCTCCATCCCTTAGAAACACGTATCCTGGCCTGCATCCAAAGCAGCATGGCCAGCAGGGTGAGGCAGGGGATCTGCCCCTCTGCTGTGAGAGCTCACCTGGAGCACTGCATCCAGATGTGGAGTTCTCAGTACAGGAGAGATGTAGATCTGCTGGAGCCCTTCCAGAGGAGGGCCACAACATGATCCCAGAGATGGAGCACCTCCCTCCAAGGACAGGCTGAGAACTGTGGCTGTGTAGAAGAGAAGGCTCCAGGGAGACCTGAGAGTGGCCTGTCAGTGTATCCTGTTGTGACAGAACAAGGGGAAATGGTTTCAAAGGGAAAGAGGGGAGACTGAGATTAGATATAAGGAAAAAGTTTTTTTTACAATAAGGGCACTGGCACAGATTGCCCAAAGAGGTGGTGGATGTGCCATCCATTCAGACACCCAAGGTGAGGCTGCACAGGACTCTCAGCTCCTGATGGAGCTGTGGATATTCCTGTTCATTGTGAGGGAGTGAGACCAGACGTGTTTTAAGGGTCTCTTCCAACTCAAACAATTCTATGATTCTATGACACTGTGTGGGCAAGGCAGACCTGACTACTAAGTATCACCAATAGAAACAGCCACCTGAGACATATCTGTAAGTCCAGCCTGGTGATGACAGACATGTCATGCATCACCCCATGCATGACAAGTCACTGAATCAGTTTTCGCAGCTCTAGCTCCAGAATATTTTTGCTTCTTCATAAAAGTCTCCCATCTTACTGGATCCCAAAGGAAAAAACATATTAGAGTCCTGTTCCCCCATCCCAGGGACAATGCAGTGACATTTTGCTCCAGTAAATTCACATACAGAATGATCTGGAGAGCAGGACGATGAGAAGCACCACATGGGTCATTTTGGGCAAACATCCTCCATCCCTGAATCAGAAAAAAATGCAGTGTCAGTTTTGCTTGCCTATGAGGAAAAGAAAATGAGGAAAAAAATTCTGCAAGCATCACTCTAGAAGCTGAGCAGCACAAATGGGCCAGAGCAGGATGTGGATGAATGCTGATGGACAGGGAGCTGAGATGTTTAATGATACTCACACATTTCTTCCACTTTTTGGTCAAAGTTTTATCAAAGGATTACAACTAACAATATTTATTCCAAACAGAAAAATCATCTCAGCTTTTGTTTTCAGGTTTTTTCATTCCCTTTGTTTTTTGGTCCAAAAAAAGATGGCAGTTTCAGATACAAAAAGGAACTATTCCTGAAATTTCTCATAATTGCCACCACTAATCACTCTTTCCACAAAGAAAAGGTTCTTTAGTGACACAGGTTCTGCCTTTGGAGTTGGCATCATACTGGGTAACAGCATAATTAGAAATAGAGAGATGTAATAACTCTCCAGGTTGGAATAGATCTGTATGAGATCAGTTTTGCCTCACTTGGATATGGACTATCCATTTCTGGAGCGCGATTTAATTACTTCTGTGGTAGCAGGTGGTAAGTTCTGCATCTCCCCTGACTGGCAAAGTGCCTCTCCTCCTCCTCAGTTCAGTTTCCTGTGTCTCCACTATATCTGACCTCTTCCTCACTGGATCTCCCTCTGTTGCTCTGTATTTTCTGCCATAATGGCCACGATGGCCTGATGCTAGCATTTGTTTTGGTAAGCAAAGACCTGGAGACACAGCTGCAACCAAAGGAAACACAGTGCCACTCAAAAGAGGGCATTTTTTCCAATCCACTATTTCTAACACTGAAATAAATATCCCAATATGCTCCAAATTTTCCAGCTGCTCATGATCCCTTGGTACAGACAGTGTTCACTAAAACACACAGGACTCAGTATCCATGTCTTTTCCCTCACTTGTCCATGCTCATTCCAGAGGTTCTGGATATCTTGCAGCTGACTCAAGAATGGCCAGATGCACCAACTGTTGTGCTGGGGTCTTTTGCTGAGCCTGATCTGCACCCCTTGTGGAGTAACTTGAAGTTCACATACCACAGCTCTTCCTCTTCCACAATACTGGAAGTGCAAATGCACATCCCCTCATGAATAAGGATGTGGAAACAAACTTGGGAATCACACAAGCACATGAGCACCCCAAAGATGTGTATTACTCATGGGCTGGGAGCACGTCCAGCTGCTTAGCTGTGGAAAGCCTCTTGAGAAAGAAGCTGCTATGGTCAGGTTCCTGCAGAGGTCTTTTTTTCCCAAGTCCACTGGGTAAAAGGCAGATCTGGAACTCTCTGCAGACCAATTCACAGAACTCTGTCCCACGTGACAAAATGAGAGCAGTGATACATCTCTGCGCCTCACACAGTGTATGGAGGCATTTCATCATGCTGTGAGTCATAAAATATGGCTCTGATGGTCATGGGATTTACTGAAATAAAAAGAAAATAACTTTCACTTTGCAGTTACGGAGGGAATATAGGATTTAACTTAGCACAGATGTAAGTAGGCTAGTAGAGAAGCAAGAAACACATTCTGTCTAGTCTATACATTTTTTTTTGTCTCTCACAGGGCTAAGTAGCATGTTCTCTCACCTCTTCCATTATTTCCTACTTAATTTTAGGTTCCAGTTTTGGCCTTGAACAATAACACTATTATCAGAGAACAGTGGCTTGGCCTGATGGAAGCTTTCAGAAAATACTGGTGCCACCTTCCATAAAACATTTTAAACACATGCTATTTGTTTTTAGTCTCTCTTCTGGTTTTACACACTACAAAGAGGACATTTAATATGTACAATAGAATTAATAGGGATGCAATGTAAGCAGGACTTACATTCAAAATACACTTCCACAAAACAAAGGAGCAGCTGTGAAAATGTAGAGTCCACTGAAAATTTTTTACTTGGGTATCACATTTGCCAAAAGATTTACTCTGCAAAGTTTTATCTAATTTCCCATTCATTCAATTAAGCAGAGAGATAAATGCCTGGATCCCAAGAGATTAGGGGAAACTGTGCTTAGCTCCCTCTTACATTTGCAATTGATACTCTCTCCTGTTTCATGACTGTTGTTAGAAAGTCCATGCTTACAGTCTCTCTGTGATAGACGAATGCCTTTCACCAAATTCAATGGGATCTGGGATCTTGGAGATCTCTCCAGCATTGGGAAGGTTCAAGCTACCTATGTAATGATACCAGACCTTATGAAATCTTGGTTCATGACACTGTCAGTATACACATGCTATGCCTCTACAGTAATAGGAATGGACAACTCCAAAACTGCGCAGACCAAAGAAATTTTGGTCAATATATTCAGGCCTTCTTATCTCAAACACTGATGATTTGCAGAAAAACAGAAGGATAGCAGCTCCTACAGTCATTCAAGGCAAAGCACTTGGCTTCAGGTTTGATGAGACCATTGTCTCTCATACTCACCTGCCAACGTATCAGTATTTTCTTCCATTCAGATGTTTGGTGGTTCTAAACTACAGCTTGGATTGGTAATTCTTTGAAGACAAAAAAAAATAAATCTTTTTTTTGCATTTATAAACATAGTAATCCACAACCAGCTTTAGTAATTCTGTGATATTTATCCTACTGCTGCTACAACTGGAATTAGAATTGTAATCAGAATTGATCCCTTCTTAATATCTCAATTAAGAATCAGTTTCCAAAAGCTATGCAGAAGTTTGAAAATCTGGGCTCTGGATTCCAAACATGATTGTTTGACAGTGCTAATATAGGTTGGAAAAGTACTCTAAGGTCATTTAGTTCACCCATGACAAATACTGTCCACTAAACCATTTCCCTCAGTACTACATCTACCCTTTCCTTAAGCACTTTCATAGGCAGTGACTCAACTACCTCTCTGGGCAGCCTGTTCCAGTGTACTCTCACTGTTTCTGAGAAGAAATGTTTCCTAATATCTAATTTGAACCTCTCTCAGTGTAGCTTGAGGCCATTGCCTCTCTTTCGATCGCTGTTACCTGGGAGAAGACAGACCCCCACCTCATCACAAATTCCTCCATGTACCAAAGACAGAAAACTTTGGGACTCTAAATAGGACTTTTTTGATGTCTGTCAATATTAGAAAAGACCTAAGGTATTCTTCTAAATTTTATCAACATTTCTTGATTAAACATATGTGAGTGCATTGTCTGGTTTTAATCAGCTTGAAAAAATCACCAGCAATTAACTGGCAAAACGGAATAATGTTGCATAGTCAAGCAAGAGAGTAATTGTGCTCATTATATTTCCAGGGATGCGATTGATCAAAAACACAGTTTTTCCTGAAGTTAATTTACAGTATTTAGGTGGAAGCAGTAACAGCCCCTGCCTCTTAAGCACTGTGGTGAGAAAGTGTTGAGAGCCAGAAGGATGAATGAGTGCCTCTACAGACATCTCTCTGGAGCTTATCCCTGTGAATTTATGTGGAAAGAAGGATATGGTGGGGCCTGATGACTAAGATAAATTTCAGGTCACACAAACCATTTTAATTTTGGAGAAGAGTTTTTGGCAAATATTTTTAGGTTTGGCTTCTCCACTGCTGTATCTTTCTGGGATGGAACAAACTAAACCACAGTGACTAATTACAACACCCTTTCAACCAAAGAACACAAAACCCAGCAAATGGTGACTATCAAGGAATTGCCTGCATTGTTTGGCCTTGCTCTGCATGTGAACAAGGGCTTCACCTTTCTCCTTCTTCCCTGCCTCTAATTTTCATAGTTATCTGCATTGATTGTTTGCTGTGAATATGATACCATTTAATGCCTTAATTTATTTGAACTGGGTCTGCAGCTGCTAGAGCTCAACACTGCATCTATAGCTTGGTTTATCTCCTCAGTACTGGATTTCTTATCCAGTGTAAGCAAGCACCAGTTTTCTCCAGGGTTACACAACCCCTTCTCCAGATCAGCAACTTTTCATTTGTGCTTATGCTTCCTTAGCAATGTCTGTCTTCTGTTTTGGAAATATGTGACAACATGATGCCTGTGCCCACATTTTCAATGGAAAGTCCTGTAGGCTTGAATTATAGCTCTTATCTTACTTACTCTCACTGCTGCATCTTTTTAAGTTCTGTTTATAAAATATTTCTTTTCTGCCTCAGAAAAAGAAAGAGCATTACTTCGATGCAGTGCAAAACTAATTTTGAATTTATAGCAAATCCTTTAATGTTCTGTTTTGTGCAAATATTTTGTATGAGTCACATACGCAAGCATACAAAATACTTTTTAACACTTCATGAAATACAAAGAGGAGACAAAGAAGGGGAGATGATGAGGTTGACTGCCAAATTCAAATCTCTGTCTGACCGATAGTTGGCCAACGTAATTCTGTCAAGGACAAGGGAGTTATGCCAGCTCAGTTTGGAGCAAGAAAGTTCAAGGAAAAGGCTCTGAGCCTTTAAACACAGATTCCTTTTTTGAAAAGAGTCAGGAGGTGGCAATTAAACTCAGTTACATTGGGATGAACGTGCTCTCCCCGTGGCTCAGAGACCACACACGCGCGGGTGATGCTCTGTGGATGAATGTATCCTGCTCTGGCCACGGGCTGGGCAGTTAGAGCCAGAATCTCTTTGAGGATTTGGACAATACTCTGAGGTGAAGCTCTATGAAATACTTAAAGAGACATCTCTGTACCATGCAGGCTAACCTGATGAAGCTGCTCCTTTAGGAATATGCGGGAAGTCGACCCAATTTGCACAGACCCTCAGCATTAGCATAGGCCCATTTCAAGCGAGGTCTTTGAACACCAGTTGCCTCCAAATTCCATTACCCCTCTCCCTGCTGGGTTTTGTGCTCTAAGTATCAGGCAGGGTCTGAGGGAAGAAAAGAAGAAGAAAGAAAAAACAGTAAGTTAAATCCTAAGCCCAAATAATTAGACACGTTCTGGTTAGTCCTCTAAACTCTTACCTATTGCTCATTCTCCATTTCAGAGAATATAATCTGATTTTTTTGTTTTTCAGACTTGACACCCAGGTCAGTTAACCTAGAGGTTCACAATTATGAATGAGATAGAGGGGAAGACAAAGGCTGACTTTGGAGACATTTGTCACAGCACTTTGCCTTTTTTTGCAGCCTCGTTGGATGTGAAAGCAAATTTCAGAGTTGTCCTTCCTTGCAGATGTTCCAGGAAAACTTCACTTGGAGAGTGAAAGAGATGTGGGATGATTGGGATATCTGGGAGGTAAACTTCAGGGTAACAACAGTATCTTGTTCTTTGTCACTAGCAAAAGGTAGCCTTGGGTTTGCTGGATGATTTTAATGGGAAATTTGTCATGGAAAAATCCTGCATGGACAGAGGGCTTCAGCTCTAAGGAGAGTACCAGCAGTTTTATTGCTGATATAGAGGAGACTCGCTGCTTTTGAAGATGGACTGTGAGGACTGGGCAATCAAAAGTTGGCCAGGTAGTTTGATTGACGAACCTTCTTTGCTTCTTTGTGTCCAGAAGCAATATTAAGCCAGATTCCAAGCAGATACGGGGAAAAAGACTATTTCTGCTAAATATCCAGTATATCCCACCATCATTCAAGCTTGCTTAGAGCAGGTTCCCACTCTCTGGCATGAACTTTGGTGCAACTCAGCTACTTTATGTACAACATGCACCAAGCATGTCTGTATAGTACCTGAGAAAGGATTAAGGTGTATGTACCTAACTTAAGAAGCAACATTTGCACTGAGACCATAAGCACAGATTTTTATTCTTATACAGTTCCCTGCTTATACTGCTTCTTATATTGTCCCCATCACTGGAAAAAAATTGCTCTTTGCCTTCTTTTCCTTTCACTCATGTTTGTTGCATTGGTTGGGTTCTTTTGAGAAAGGGAGTTCATACATTGTGTGATTAAGATACAAAAGAAGGTGAGCTTGAAGAATGGCCCCGGAATAGATGGAAGTGAGTTTTGTGGAAGTAATTTCTTACTCAAGGGCTCAGTTTTGCTCTTGGACCAGTTTCCAGGGAAGTTTTATCTCTCACCTAGGGATTTGAAGATGTGAATGCCTCATCCCTAGAGGCATTTGAGGCCAGATTGGATGGGACCTGAGCAACTTGATATGGCACATAATTTAATAGTTGGTGACCCTACTCATGGAAGAGCGTTGGAACAGGATTGTCTTTGAGTTCCCTTTCAACCCAAACCATTTTATGTTTCTATAATGATTCTATGATATTACCTATATGTATGACAGCTCCACTGTTCAAAGGAGCAAGATGCTTGAAGATAGTCTTCACAGAGTCTTGAATGTTTTTCCATGTTTCTCTAGTCTCCTTCTCACAGGGCTTGTTGAACTCTGTCAACAAAGAACAGGCTATGATCTGGGCTTGAAATTCTTTGAGAAGCCACCTGAAGATCTGGAGGTACGATGCAGTTGAATAGCTGGTGTCAATAAGGAGAAACCTGATTGCATGTCTTACAGCTGGAATTTTCAAATGCTGATGATATCATGCATAGATCTCTCAGAATGCTGCTTGTCCTGCCAAGTGGCAGAATCCTACAGGAACTAGATGATTGAAGAGCTGGAAGGAAGCAGAAGAGACTATTACTTGGGCACACTGCTATGGAGGAGATTAGCGTCGGGGAAGGCTGAGCTGAACGAATGCCTTCAACAAAAAAAAAAGACACAGCTATAGCTGCATATTCTTTGAAATCTTTTCCTCTGAGCAACAGCATTACCTCTCCCTCACTAAGATTCAGCTTCAATGAGCTCTTCTTTCTTCACAAGGCTGTCCTGATGTGAAGGATGTATCTCTGCGTGCTGGCAAATGGGAAAAGCTGTGTGTTATCTGTGTGCTGCTGGCACTCAAAGCAGTGTTGCCTAATAAGTTTATCTTTGGATTTCACAGAGGTGTTAGAAATGGCCAGAGAGGAGCTGATCTTTCATGAAGAAAGGACTTGGAGGTGTAGCTTTACTTACTGCATTTTAGCATTTCACCCTGTGATCCTGATGCCTGTTCACCATGAGAAGGCAGACCTGCATGTCCCCAGAATCCAAACAATTTGATGAAGCTGTTAGTTGGAGTTGAGCTGACTTCACAGAGCTTGCTGAGTGGGAACTCAGCCAACAGGAGGCAATAAACTGGAACCAATACAGTGTGGGGTGGGAGGTTCGCTTCATGTTTGCTGGATAGCCGTGGCATGGACTTATATTAACAAGACTCCAGGGGATGAGGAGGAAGGGAGCATGTTTTGCAGCATCCAGAACTTCTCAGGTGCAACTGCACTACTCCCTAGGAGCAAAGAGGTCATGACTGGTGGGTACAAGCAGAGCCATTAGAAAACCACAGATACAAAGCGTAGTTCTGTGCAAGTGCTTGAGTTAAAGTTAAACTTAACTTGAGTTAAAGTTATCAAGACAGTTGTACATGCAGCCTGCTTTCTTCAGCCATTTTGCACGCAAATTCTGAATGTGGTTTCACAGAGTGGATGAATCACCCAGACTTCAGCCATGCTTTCTTGGCTGGAGCTGCAAACCCAGATGGTGTTCAGAATGCAATTTTGCAGATTATTTGGAAGTGTCACCCTATTCAGGTACTCCTTTCCACGTCTTTATTAATGCCCACAAAATACTGCTTGCTTCAAAACAATTTCCTACCTCAAGAATAATAGAATTTCACCTAGGTACTTAAGTTACATAGGTACTTAATAGTTCTCATCAACAGACTGTGGGGCTGCTAATAACTACAAGAAATATGATGGATGTGAAACATGAGAAAACTCCAGAAACTAAACATTGTGAGGATTCATCTTGTTCAATGGTGATTCATGCACGCAATTCCCATGAGTATTACCAGGAGTTAGGGATATAAATCCTTGCACATCAAGAGGGGCTATAACCCCTAGTGGTTAGGAATTAAAAGCGTTCTGAGGGGCACAGTCTCATCTTAAGACACAGAGTTGCTGTGTGCATCTAAATCCCTGTACACCGAGATGTGAATAAGTTAGGATCACAGTAATAGCAATGACTATGCAGCTTGTACGGTGCTTTTGAAATTGGATGACACAGAGACATCTTTCCAAATTAGCGATTTAAAGTTGCAGGTGGCTGGTGCTTTCAGTTTTCATCCACTCTGTAAGCCTGGAGATGGTTTCACTAATACAGCACTTCCCAGATGTTTAGACCCCAGGTGTGCAACACTGTTCTTATTGATGAGATTTAGATTCTGGGTTTTTTTTTTGTTTTTTTTTTTTTTTTTGGATGCTGCTTATGATAGGAGCAAAGATAACTACATCAGGTCATATCTTTCATTATCATACAATCTTCCTTCCTTCCTTGCATTACTGATGCTGACTTTAATTCTTCGCTCAGTGAATTTGTGGAGGCTGCATAAGCACTTGCTTACAAGGCATGCCACTTCCCTGAATCTGGGTAGAAGCTTCTCCTTTCATTCATCTGTAAGCACTGTCTGAGGTGTGTACGCTTGTAGCTGCATTTGTATTTATCCATTAAATGTTAAACTATATCATAATTTTTATTTTTGCAGTGTTTATCTACATATTAGATTCCTCCATCCTGGGAGGTGCCCATGGTCAGGATGCATGGGGCTCTGGGCAGTCTGAGCTGGTAGGGGGCAACCAGCCCACGGCAGGGAAGTTATAGCTCAATGATCTGTAAGGTCTCTTCCAACCTAAGCCATTCTATGATTCTCTGATTTTAGAATTATTTCTTTGTTCTACTTTTGTAAACCTTTGGGTGTAACCACTCCACCACTAGATAGTGTATTTTGGATACTCACAGTTACTCTTGTTCCCATTTGTGCTTCTCTGGTTTACTTCAAGCCATTTTTGAATCATAGAATGACTTGGATTGGAAAGAACCTCAAAAATCATCTCTTTCCAACCTCCCTGCCATAGGCAGGGTTGCCAGCCACTAAATCAGGCACCAGGTCAGGTTGCCCTGGGCTCAATCCTACCTGGCCTTGAGCACCTCCAAAGATGGAGCATCCACAGCTTCTCTGGTTGATCTTTGCTCACGTGTCTAATAGAAGATAGCAAGCAACACTTTAGTCAGAGGTGATTTATCAGTTTTAGGGGTTATATCCACTAGATAGATATCTCTATCACAACCAGTCCTCCACAAGCATTTTAAGTCAGTCAGGAGAAACAGGCACAATTTCTCTCATTCTCACAACAGTGAACGTCAGGTCCTTTGTGTGGTCCTCTGTGGAGCCAAGATTTGGACTCAATGATCCTTATAGGTCCCTTCCAAACCAGATTCTACGATTCTAACAGCAGATGAATCGTATCTTATCAGCATTTGTGTATCCCACTACTCAAAAAGAAGCCCATAATGACCAGCTCAGTAGCTGAACAGCCCTGAATCAGCTCTGAGACTTTGCTGTATTGGGATGGACTGAGGCAGAGATTGAGGTTATGTGGAGCTGGAAGCCAGGTGATCCACCAATATGACTACCTCCAGCTTCTTTCCAGGAGGTATTTCCCTCCCCAGTAAACATAAACTCATTTATAATCATGTCACTTCCCACATTGCAAAACTTTCTCTGAATTTTTAATGTGAGCACTCTAAGACACTTCCAGGATTTCCTTCTCAGTACACATAACTAAGGCAGATTGATATTCAAAGTGCCTCATGGTCATGAGATCCTGTACACACGTGTATTCAGTTTGCACCTTTAAGGGATTTTGCATTATGTGGGGAATTTGCCCACAGACAAAAATAAAAGAATCCATTTAGGGCAACAGCATGAATTAAATAAGCAGGTATTTCCCATGATGTACTCTGCAAAATGCAGCAAAATAGACAGACCCCTTCTGAAAGAACTGCAGGGTGACAGACCAAAGTGAACTATCCTGAAAGTGGAATAAATCCATCCCTAATCACTACCAAAGTGCTGAGTTTGCAGTAGATATTTCTCTTATCAAAACCTATAGCTGGATTCGCTGATATGGGTAATTTCCCAGGTGTTTACTTGCCAGACAAAGAGGTCATCTGGGGGGGAAACTGTCTCCTGGAAGATGCAGTGCTGTGACCCAACAAGTAAATAAGTGTAGGAAAAGATTTGCCTACACAGCAAAACCTTTCTGTTATTGTGATTCCTGAAAATGCCAAGGAACTCAGTTCATAAGACTCTTCCAGTTGTACAGCTGCACGTCTTGCACGACAGCCCTCGTGAGTCATAACATCTCCAACACGTGGCTTTATGAAAATAACCCCAAAATGTATTCAGTGAGAAAAAAAAACACTAAAACTAAACACTATCAATATTCCAGCCTGCTGTCATACTAACATATACTACTCATGAAACAAAGCTCAAACTGTAGAGTACTTGGAGTACAACATTTTGCTTTTTGTTCCTATTTCTGAATGAATTCTTCTCATGGTTATTCTACTTTCATTTTTTACTGCCAAGGAACAGCCCAACCTTGCATTTTCCTCAAACAAGAACAGATTGAACACAGATTTTCTATACCATCTCTTGAAACACTGTGCTGAGAGAATTCACATTTCCTTTTTTTCAAGTGCTGAAACTTGGCCTTGAGAGTCACACGCAGCCACTGCTGTAGAGAGAAGCACTGCTGGGTGACATCTGTCATCAGCCACTGCTGAGCTGAAAGGTTCAGTTCCTAACAGCAAGTTGTGCATTAAACAAACAAACAAAAAGCCCTCCAAGAACGCTAGAAAAGGAGTTTAAAGAGCAAGTACATTTGAGGAAATGCAGTGCATTTTCAGCAGTCCATCAGAAAAAATTTGCATCAAGCATCATGTGAATTGTGCACTGAGCTCTGCAGAGATTAATTTGCACTGCAATGTAAAAAATGTCAGGCAGCAATTCTGACTGAACTAATTGTTGTCTATTGCACTTGTCCAGACAGGGGATTTTAGGTGGTTCTTTAATCTAAAGGAAAAAAAAATGTCTTTTGACCCCTGGAGAAAGACCTATCAAAAAGCTTTGAAAACAGCCAGAGAATTTCTGGAAAACAGGTGAACATTTATAATATTGAAAGTGATGGATTTTAGTGATAAACATCCAGAAAACTCTGAGGAATTCTCCAGCTCTTCAAGTTTTCCAGTCACAAATCAGCAAGACATTGAACGATCACAAACTTTACACAGATGTTAAATGAATAAAATGATCTGGATTGGGATGTGCAGCATGTCAGATCTAAGGACCACCCAGACAGAGAATGCTGACTCCATGAAAGCAAAGGGGTACACATGACTCTGTGACTGCCTCTCAAGTTGAACCTATTTGTCCCAGAACTCTAAAGCCTGGGAAATAGAAGAGATTATTTAGGTACCAAGGTATATCTTTGGTTGAATTTAAACCTATTGGGAAGTCCTCTGCAGATGTTGTGTTAGGCAAGACATGCTTCAACATTTTCTGTAGATCCTGGGGGCCTATTTATGCATCTGCTTAAAACATTTTGCCCCCCAGCCCCATGGAATCCAAGGCATTTTGCTTCTTAGTTAAACATGCCAGTTCTACCACACTGTTTCCCACCTCCCCCAATTCACCTGTCTATTTGAACTCCAAAAGATATTGGACAAAGCATCTGGTGGGTCACACAAGTCTGTCCTATGCTGTTCTGCTGAACACGAGGGGTTTCACTGTGGAAGCAGGATGTCAGTCCAAGGATGCTGAGAACACGCTCAAACACTGATCCCTGCCTTGTTGCAAAGTCTGTCC